CAATGCCCTCTGTCTCTGGGTAAAGGAGTGGGAGGAGGTTGTTGAAGAAGGAGGTGCCTTGTGAAAGAGCATCTCTGACATGGGCAAGGTCTGGGGAAGAGTGGAGCAGAGCCTTGCACAGATTCATGTGAGCTGGTGGTGCATGAATTCCAGCTCTGTTGAGCTGCATGCAGTTCATGTTTGGCTTTTCCTTGGAATCTGTTTTCTGTTAGGTTCTACTAGATCAACTTGATTTCTTATGAGAATCTGCAAATTCTGAAACTTTACTATATACTAAAAATACCAAAATAAAGATCCAAGTTTGGGGACTTGAATCTGTTTTCTCTTTAAGGCCTTGATTTGCCAYCATTCCCATCAGTCTTGTATCAGTGGGATTTGGATTCCATGAAGCCATTCAATGCCTTAATTGTAACAAYTTCAGGGCAATACATTTCAGAACAYTCTCCAGGGAGAGTCARGCATCCCACAACTGTGAGCTCTGTGTGGTTGGAATGCTCTGCAAGCTGCATATCCACAGCACAAATTAGGGAAACTTAATTAAGTTGATCTGATAGGAAATAATTCACAGTAAAATTCCAAATTATTAGTGCATTATTTGTGCTTAAAACAACTTGTGCTGCTTTCTAGTGAATTGTTTTATGTGGAATGCAGCTTTAGAGAGTTGCTATTAAAATGTTGGGTTTATAGCCAAGCAGACATGCAGTGTTCCTAAATGTGTGTCAATTCTGCCCTTTTCTCCTCTGTGTTGCTGAAGCATTTTCATCAGGGTTTGGTCTCTGTGTTTCTATGATGTTACTGTACACAAATTCACGTTTAAGTATAATTCCTTTACTCTCTATTTCCACTGGCATTCAGAGCTTTGTGTGCTTTCCTGACTACGTAATTTTCAAAGTGACAAATTTCTCTGAAAATTTAAGATGATGGTCTTAAACTGGCAAATGTTTTAAATAGTTCCATTGGCTTCTCTTAGGTTTGGTGTTTGGGATTAAAACTTCTACAGTTCTCCGAGTGAGGAGAATATAAATAATTCAGCTTTTTTTTTCTTCTTTTTACAGAGTATATTGATTTCTATGTCAAAAAGGTCAACTTTTGTATGTATTTCATAAGCAGATCAATTACTCATTACTTTAAAAACAGGAAAGGAYCTATAAATAGCATCCAAGAGACTGACAGTCAGTTGCAAAGCTCTCCAGTAATGAATGTAAATATTTGCAGTGAAAATGTTGATCTTTTTCACTAGTAAGTTTGGGTTTTTTCATTCCTCACAACAAGTGATACTTTCCTGATTCCTAACTTCATAAAGAAAAYCACTTTATGCTTCTACCTTGCTTTAGAGCAAGCCAATAAAGTCACATAGCAATTGCAGCCTTTGCTGTTCAGATATGTTTAATGACATCAAATTTTGGCATRTGTCTTGCTGATCTTTAGAATTTCAGTTTGAGCAGTGCATTTAATAGAAAATAGCACAGYATGTTCCCAGAAGTGTCCTAAAGATTCTGTCTGTTAGTGTCAGTTTTGCAGAGATGTATTAGTTAACTGTACTGCACAGGAGTGAGGAACATTTCTTGTTAATTTAGGGAGGGAGAAAGCTTGATGACACATGCAAATGGCACATCATATATTTTAAGTTCTGTGTATGTCGCCTACACTAACTGCATTTGTCCTTTCAACATCTTTCTTAGCTTGAGCACCACCCTATTTGATTTTTTTTTTTGTGACTGTGATATTAATACACCTGTTAAATAGAAGATTAATTACATAATAGCATTTTTATTAAAGATTAGGTACCCTTTGGGAGAAAAAAAATTATATATACACACACACATATATATATATGGAGTCCTGATGATCTCTACCTTGAAATTACTCTTCCTTTCTGTACCTGGCAGCTGTCAGKGCTTAGGAAGGAGCTGGCCCAACTAATTCTCTGCAGGAGGAGTGCAAAGTGCTTGGGGTTATGGGAGACAGTAATTCTCAAGGTATTGCCAATTGTATCTGTAGATGTAACAACAATCCCAATTTATGCAGCTTCATGGAGCAGAGGTGAGACAGAACTGGTAGAGCAGGAACCATGTACACAACGTAAGGATTAGCTCAGTTTTAACCTGGAGTATGTGAGAATGTAATTTTCTAATTTTATTCTTCAAATTCAGAAAGTGTTCCTCTTTTTAGACAATTCTGTTGGCTCTGAAGAGATTGCTCTCTTCTGGGCTGTACAAAGGACTATTTCCTACCAGTTACAGATCTGCTGCATAATGATGGGTTCAGGAGCAAGCCCTTTCTCTCAGGTTYAGCTATTTCTCCACCTCCAGCTATTATTGTTGCAGAAGAGCATGTGGTGGGGTTTCCAATAATCTGATCCTGTTTTTGACTACAAGTGATGAACAGCAGCACTGGCACAAGTTTTGCAAAGGCTGCTCCCATCTTCCCTCTGGCTCCCTGACTCTTCAGGAACTTTTCAGCCCACTGTGCTTTGTACCCCTGATATTCCTGCTAATGCCAGGAACTCTCTCACACATCTTTGTGCCTCCTGCCTGGCACAAGGCAAAGCAAAGCAGAAATCCTTTGCCTGTTTATTGTCACCTCTCTCTGAAAAGCTCAGAGAGAGTCTCTGTACCCGTGCACTTGCAGTGGGGAGAGCACAGTTCTGTTTCCAGCATGTTCTCCATGCTGCCTGAGCTTTTCCAGCTCACTCTGCAGTTGTTGCCAAGGGCACAGAGCAGATTTCTCATTTCACTGCCTGGGAAGCCAGAGAAATTTGTACCCTGAGATGTTTTGGGCACTGGGTTCAGTCCAGCAATGGGTGTCTTTTCCCCAGGGAGCAGTTTTTAATGATCTTCACAATAAACAAGGGCTGGGAACACAGTGCTAGAATGTCCTGGTGATGGAAGCAGGAGCAGAGAGGGGACACGTGCTCTGAAGTGGTAATGACATCTCCCTTCATGTCCTGCAGCAATGAGATACATGGATTAATTCAAAATGCATTGGTAACATATGGGTCTAAAATTATTTTGTGCTATTTAGAACAAGTCCTTTGAGCTAAGGCTGTTGTAAATTCTAATTAGTCTATGCTAATCTCCATAATAGGCAGCTATTTCTAATGCAGATCTAACTGATGAGGTCTGACAGCACTTTCCACACTTATTTATACACTGGCAGCAAGCTGGTATCATGCTAGTGTCAGAATGTTTGCTCAGGTTAAGAAAACTTTATTTTCTGTACTCCACAGGGAGTTTGTATTTGCTGCAGGCTTGTGCCTTTTCCTGGAACACGAATTTAATCCTATTTGCTTGTATTTATTTGTGCAGAAAATAGGGAAAACTCCTTCAGCCGTTCCCGAAGCTCCAGCGTGTCCAGCATYGACAGGGACTCAAAGGAGTCAATCACAGCTTTGTACTTCATGGAATCCTTTGCCAGAAAAAACGACTCTGCTGTCTCCTCCTGTCTYTGGGTTGGAACAGGCCTTGGAATGGTCATAATCCTGTCCCTAAATCTGCCTGCCAGTGATGATTTACGGCAGTCAGAGCCAGTCGTGGTGTCACCAAGTGGTGAGAGTGAAACTCTTTTCCTGCTTTTTATCTGTCTTGGTAAAATGGGGGGAATAACTGTGTGATTTTGCATGTTCTTTTGGGCAGAAATGTCTCAAAAAATGTATCAAACCTTGCTGAAAGGTGGACATACATGTGAAGATACCCATAAGGAACCTGCAGCTTCATGGAGTGAATCACTCTGGTTGTGTTAGTTCCAGAGATTGCCTTGTGTAATGGGCAAAGCTCTGTGTTTCTGTAAAAACAGGGAAATTAGCAGAGTTCTTTCCATTGTGAAATTACAGTCCTGTTTACAATTCTGTCAGAGATTTTGCAAACACTTTGGCTGTTTTACTATCAGAAAGCTGCAGAGAAGCAGAAGGGAGTTCAGGAAAGGAAACAAAAATGTTGGCAGGTTGTTGTACCAGGAGAGATCCTTGGCTGAGTGAGTGACAGATGGTGKAGCAGAGAGAACAGAGGGCTGAGAGGTCAGGTCTGAGGAGAGGCAGTATGTGCTTTAAAAATGGACAAAAAATGGAGAWTGCACAGGAACAGAGGTTTCCCACCCCCAGTTTGTTTAGAAAAACAGTGCTGGAAGGTTACCAGACTTGGAGCAATTTCACTGCTGGGGAATAAATACTCTACTAGTATAGTGTAGAGATACACAACAGGCTATATTAGTGGTCTTCAACAGCACATTTTATATCCATTATTGTAGATATCAGCTGCCTGAGACTTTTCCAATACTGGCAGACTGTTTGCTCACCTTCTCCTATGGTCAGAGCAGGCAAGCCTTGTCACTTGAGCTGGATTGATGTGTGTGCTGTGTTTACCAAAACTGAGTGTCAGTCTGCTTGTGGTGCCAGTGATGAGAGGAAATTCTGTTCTGCAGGCACCGTGCTGACTCTGAAGGGAGCTGTGCTGACCTTTGCCTGCTTGGACTGCATGGGRACATTGACACATCGACCCTATGAAGTCTGGAGGGATCCGCACGGTGCCGAGGACGGTGACAAAACAAGGAAAAGGAAACTTGTCATGCATTCCCCTTCCTCCTCCCAGGATATGGGTGATCATCAATTTGCAGTCATTTGTTCAGAAAAACAAGCCAAAGTCTTCTCATTGCCTTCCCAAACATGTCTATATGTCCACAACATCACCGAAACGTCCTTTTTATTGCGAGCAGATGTGGTCACCCTCTGTAACAGCGTCTGTCTGGCGTGCTTTTGTGCTAATGGGCACATCATGACACTGAGGTACTTATCTAACTAATCTTGTGGCAAAACTAAGCAAAGAGGTGGCACAGTGCTGTCATATTCCACTTGTGTTTGCTCCAGAGTGCGTGATGCTCTGCATTAACTCCCTGCTGGGTGCTCTGAATTCCTGCCTTGCTGCAGTCACTCTCTCCATGTGGGGAGTTAAGGCAGGCAGGCATGCAACAAAGCAAG